CAAGCACGTTCAAGCCCAAAACTGACGTTCAATCCGGAAACAAGCTGTCAAGCCTCCGAATTACGTTATTGAAGTCAAGACCGACGTAAAGAAGATCAAAATCAACTTTGCGGCGAAGACCAAGGACTCGTGTTCTTCACATTCTTGGGAAATCACAGCGTTCGATTCGAGATCAAGCTGTCAAGCCCTCGAAGAAACGTTATTCAAATCCAAATTCAAGACCGACGGAGATCAAATTGAAGATTAGTCTCCAAAAGTCTTAAATCCATTTGAAGATTGTTCTTGAAGAAATTAATCAGAGGAATAATAGAGATTTGTAATCCACTATATTTCTTTTGATCCGTTGAAAATCCATTTGTACGAATTTCTCGTGTTTATTAATTCAATAATACGAAATTTTGCGTTACAGAATATCAAATTAAAATTATTTGACTTTGTTTTATGTTTAAAAGATAATTCGAACTAAATAAAGTAATAGCCAAATGATAAGAGATTTTTAAAAACTAAGTGAATTCATAAACAAACACTCCGTATATCCTTTACATTTAATTTATACTCAAAATATAACTCAACCTCTTATCATTAATATTATTCATATAATTAAATAATACAAAACAATTGTTTTTACACATCACATCAAGTTTAATTTACTATTCATCCACTTATATAATTTTGACTAACAATCACTTCACATTATATTTTTTCTATTTTCACAACATATCAACTTTAATTATTTTATTTTAAATATTATTTTAATATAAACTCAAAATATCACTAACAACTAACATACACCATTTTTCAAAATTAATTCTAGGTAATCAAAATAATTCATTTTGAGCGGATTAATTTGTAAACAAGCACGCTCTTAATGGCTAGACAATTATTCAAATAGCGATCACAACCCTCGAATATAATATATTTTATATTATAATAAGCTACTTATCACGTCTAGCTTTGTAAGGATTTGAGTAGGACACATTTGGATACAAATATTAACCGATTTTGCTTCACGTTATGTTTTTACACTTTTTAAATAAAATTAATCTCAAAACTTAATTAGTTATTTATCTATTCACATATTTTTAACTATCTTTCCAATAACATATCTTATATAATTATATCACATCAACTTTAATCTAAGTATAAAATAATATTTTCATATAAACTAAAATTATCATTCATTGTTCCACCAGATCAACTTCGTTTAAAATTTAAAATAACTTAACTAATAAATATAATAAAAATTTATTTCTATCTATAACCACTTAAACTTGAAACCAAACAATCATGGTCGTTTACCTCGGAAACAATTGAAGCTATGGCCCTATGATTCGGACTTATCGTGTTGGATTCAGGCTTTATGCTCCACAAACGTACTCCTATTATTACTGACATCTCAGACCAACATTCTAACGACCCGTTGCACAATGTTTTTATCCCTTTCTAGTGGACTGATTTATAGGGCTCGAAAGCCTAGAAAAACGGTTCCTTCGCAATATGTAATTGATCGATTCATCTGATTCTGATATAGATGCCCGGGAAAAGCCCTAGTCAGAGAACCTAGCCAACCTGTCTTATGGTATTATTGATCTTTTGAGGTTGTTGAATTGTGGAAACTTTAGTCATGTTAGTTGCGCGTACAATGTTATAACTAATATAGCTGTATGAGTCATTCGACCGATGTGATCCTTCTTGTGAAAGGACTGTCTTCCGTATTTTTTGATAGTATGAATTCAAGTTTATTTGCTAAAAAAAAAAATGCTTACCTGGGGTATCTTCGTAATCTATATCTAAATCTAAATCTAAATCTATAACTATATCTATATCTATATCTATATCTATATCTATATAATGACCAATCCATTTTACTATATATGTCACAATTTTTCCCGCCCAAATGTTTCGGCCAATTTTGGCACTTTCTATTAGACATTCCTTTATTAAATAAAACTAAATTGATTATTTCATTAAAAATTTAAAGAAGATTTAAACCAATTATAGATTGAATTAAAATTTAATATCAAAGATTCATCAAGATATTTATTAATTGTTTTAATAATATACCCGAAATTATAAATATTTTGGTACAAGTTTTGTTTTGATGTTTGTTGAATTAAAATTTGATCTCAAAGATTTGTGAAGACCTTGATTAGTTTTGTTTTGATGTTTTGATGGATGACTATTTTTAAAAAATATAATAAAAAAATTGACAGTAACATAAAATAAAAAAAAAAATATCTTTTGATGGTCGGGTGAAATTAAAAATTATAATTTTCACATTAAAAATTTATATACATAAAAAACACTATTCATGGTGTTAAAAAGTAAAATGTTTATTATATACTATTTTATAAAGAAAAACAAGTAACTAAAATTTTATAGTGAAGTAATAAGTGAAATTATAGCATTTTGTAGTCGTTGAAATATACTACATCATGTTCATTATAAATGTCGTTTTGACTTTTTTGATTCATCCATTTTGTTATGTATCTAGACATTATCAAAAAAGTCAAAACGACATTTATAATGAGAGGGAGTACCATATATCAAAATGCTTAATTTTTGTTTAGTTAAATTATTTTATATGTTGTAAACACATGAACTAAATAAATAAATACAGACACTTTTAAAAATAACTAATAAAAATATTAATAATATTACACTTTTGATAATTGATAATTATATAAATACATGAAAGTAAGTTGTAAACAATCGTTATATTTTAAAAATATTACACCGCCATAATATTTTATAAACTAATAAAATTCATACCTACAAAAATAAAATAGAAAATAAATAAAAATATTTAAATAAATATTAAATATATTATAGACTTGATATGTGGTGTATTATTTTAAATACTTGATACTAAAATACTTTTCATATTATATATCGTGCATCATACGGGTTGCAACACTAGTATAAACTAATAAAATTCATACCTACAAAAATAAAATAGAAAATAAATAAAAATATTTAAATGAATATTAAATATATTATAGACTTGATATGTGGTGTATTATTTTAAATACTTGATACTAAAATACTTTTCATATTATATATCGTGCATCGTACGGGTTGCAACACTAGTATCGATAAAGTTCGGTGGCAATAGGAAAGCCCGATTTAATTTCCAACGAATCGCGTTAACCCGCGCTACAGCGGAAAACAACTCACACTCACACACTATGCAACTCTACTGAGAAAAGAAAAGCTCTCGTTAGCTTTATATTTGCAGACGCTGTTATTAGGCAAATGCAACTATATATATAAAGCCAGCGCCTCTGTCATCTCTTCAAATCAATCGGCAATGGCGAGACGAGAAGACCCAAATTTGTTTGAGGATGAACCCGAAGTTAATCCGTTTTCGGTAATTGATTTTAATTTTGATTTTTTTTTTT